CGCGTAGAAAGTTCATTGCGAAATTGGAGGCGTTTCTGGCGTCACAAAAAAAGCATTTCACACTCACGCCAGTCGCACGGGATATTATGCTGGCAAAAGCGGAAACCAAGGAGCGCCGGCAAAAGAAGCTTGAACAGGTTTGTCTTTCCTTCTCACGTATATATATTTATGAATGCATACTGAGCTCCCCGTTCACCATTAAAACGCGAATTGATACCTCATGAAGGAATAACTCTTTAATTGATAAAGAAAAAGGGAAACGTGAACGTATAATTATATATGAAAATATATATATGTAGTTCCTATATAATTTATTTTGCTCCCTTACTTTAAGACTGATACAAGAAACGTGATTTTTGTGGCTTATTCCATGAGCGAGATAAGCAAACATTACTCACATTTTATTAAAAATGAAAAAACTGACTTAACTTTATAATAAAATCACCAAAATTGTTACTCAAATGGAGTTTTTTTTTAAAGGTTTATTAAACAAAAATGACATACGTTTATATGTCGTGAATATATTATTTTTATCTATAATATTTGGTCAATAATTTTCTGTCAAGTTGAAAAATAGTCTTTCCCATTTTCTGGGAGACTTAATTTTTTGTGTTATTTTCAAAATAAGGGAGCGATTTTGTTTATTATTACACTACACGCAAACTTAGAGTATTAATTATACAAATGAAACAGTTATGTCATTCTCGATGACACTGTGAAATGTTTTTAGTTCTTTAGAGAAGCGTACGCGTTGACTTTCGGTTTACGGCCCGGTGAACGAAGACGACGATCTGAAGATAGTGACACCGGGGAGGTCGTCACAGTGATGCGCACATCGCTTTCCAAGAGCGAGTTCGCGAGTGCCCTCGGTATGCGGCCCGATGCAGTCTTCGTGAAGAAAATGTTCAACATTGTCGACAAAGATGGCGACGGCCGGATTTCTTTCCAGGTATAATTGTCGCTCGCTTCATCGAAGCTGCGCTTTTACCATTTCATTTGATCAATACAACTTTCTTCTCTTGCCTGACAATCATCACCGAAGAGCGATTCAAATTCCAGGAATTCTTGGACACGGTCTTGCTGTTTTCACGGGGCAAAACCGAGGACAAGTTGCGTATCATCTTCGATATGTGCGACAAAGATAGCAACGGCGTGATCGACAAGGAAGAGCTGTCGGAGATGCTAAGGTCATTAGTGGAAATAGCTCGTACCACAAGTCTCTCGGATGATCACGTCACCGAACTGATCGACGGCATGTTCCAGGTACGTTTTTATTATCTTCACTTCATCACGGTATCCTATAATATTTCTTTCAAAGTGCCTTTCGTCATTGTCACGATAACTGCTACGTTCCTTATTGATCAGGACGCTGGACTCGAGAGAAAGGACTACCTCACTTATAACGATTTCAAATTGATGATGAAAGAGTACAAGGGCGATTTTGTCGCGATCGGTCTCGATTGCAAAGGTGCCAAGCAGAATTTCCTCGACACATCGACGAATGTTGCTCGCATGACCAGCTTTCACATCGATCAACTACCCCCGGAAGATTCGAAGAGCTGGACGCGCAAGCAATGGGATGCCATATCGACCTTTCTCGAAGAGAACAGGCAGAATATATTCTACCTCTTTGTGTTTTACGTGGTCACCATAGCTCTCTTTGTCGAGAGATTTATTCGTGAGTATTTAATCGGTTTCAAGAACAAAAATTCAAAAGATGTGTAACTTTAATTTTTCAAGTTCTTTGAATGATTATATATATTTTATTTTATTATATAATATTGAATATATGATTTGTATTCGGAAAGCATTCTGTTCGCGTTTGCTTAAAAAATCTCTTACTTTTTTTTCGCAGATTACTCTTTCATGGCAGAACATACGGATCTCAGACATATAATGGGCGTAGGAATTGCTATAACCAGAGGATCGGCAGCCGCACTATCCTTCTGCTACAGTCTCCTGCTATTAACAATGTCGCGTAATCTGTTAACGAAGTTGAAAGAATTCTCGATTCAGCAGTACATCCCGCTAGACTCGCACATACAATTCCATAAGATCGCAGCATGTACGGCACTTTTTTTTTCTGTGCTGCATACGGTTGGTCACATAGTCAACTTTTATCACGTTTCTACGCAGCCAATAGCTCATCTTCGCTGCCTCACCAGTGAAATCAGCTTTCCCAGCGATGCGCGGCCTACTATCTCCTTTTGGCTGTTCAGGACAGTAACCGGTAGGTGTTCTTGTCAAAGACTTAGCAATTTCATTAGACATCTGGAACGTTGACATGATTCCCTTATTTCGCTCTTGTTGCAGGTTTAACCGGTATTCTTCTTTTTGTCATCATGACGATCATTTTCGTCTTCGCACATCCGACCATACGACAGAAGGCCTACAAATTCTTTTGGTCGACGCATAGTCTCTATGTAGTTCTATATGCATTATGCCTCATCCATGGTTTAGCTCGTTTGACAGGCGCACCGCGATTTTGGATATTCTTTGTCGGCCCGGCAATCATTTACGCGTTAGACAAAGTAATTTTATATCCGCTTTTTTCTGAAAGGAGAACAGTGACAAAGAAAGGGAATAATTTCTTTTTTTTTACACTTGCATGTATATCACCCTGGTAGTCACATATATAATTACAAAACTTTATTAATTATGTATGGATATCATGCATGATGTAATATATCTTGTATGTTACGTAGCGATTATCTCACATTCGTTTAATGCAAATTGCCTTTTGTCAGATCTTAAATGATCTGATTTGAATTATTAACGCAATATATAAAAACAAAGCCAAGTATCGAATATCAAGAGTGCTATTAGAGTACTGATTTCAGGTCGTCAGCCTGAGAACTAAATACATGGCCTTGGACATCATCGAGACCGAATTACTACCCTCCGATGTAATAAAGATCAAATTCTACAGACCTCCGAATTTGAAATACCTATCGGGTCAGTGGGTGCGTCTCGCTTGTACTGCCTTCAGGTCCAATGAATTTCATTCTTTCACGCTGACCTCGGCACCGCACGAGAATTTTCTGTCATGTCACATAAAAGCTCAAGGACCGTGGACGTGGAAGCTCCGTAATTACTTTGATCCTTGCAACTATAACCCAGAGGATGATCATCCGAAGATTCGTATAGAGGGACCATTCGGTGGAGGAAATCAGGATTGGTACAAATTCGAGGTCGCGGTGATGGTCGGAGGTGGCATCGGGGTGACTCCTTATGCTTCGATGCTTAATGACCTCGTATTTGGTACCTCCACCAATAGATATTCAGGCGTTGCTTGTAAGAAGGTAGATGCAAATCATAAAAATTAAGTGAAAAAAATAATTAAGTGAGAAATGTTTAAAAGATAATTCAAAATATAAATTATATTTTGAAAATTAGAAATAGAAAATTTTCTAATCAAAATAAGTAGATAAAAATTTAATTTTATTCTATAAAGGAATTTATAATTTAACTGTTTTAGATTGTTTGAGAAGTATTTCTAAAAATGTATATTCATATTAGAAATTAAAAATATATGTTCATAAAAATGTTGTTACAGTAAAATTGATGTAAAAGTGCATGGCGATTGCTTCATTACTAGAAAGTATGTTTTACTGTCGAAAGAGAAACGTGAATATGGAATATTATTGGGGTATATAATCCATTGCGTTGAATTTAACGGCTCATTAAAGTAAGAAAACGCTTCTATTTCTTTATTCGATAATATCATGTCACTTTCTTTTTATCTTGTGTAGGTCTATTTTTTATGGATCTGCCCATCGCACAAACATTTCGAATGGTTCATTGACGTTCTCAGAGACGTTGAGAGAAAAGACGTCACGGATGTGCTTGAAATCCACATATTTATTACGCAATTCTTTCACAAATTCGATTTGCGTACTACTATGCTGGTAGGTGAATTTATATTGGAATTTTTTGCAATAAAAAAGTATTCAAAGTTTCTCCTTATATCTAATTAATTCAATCGTATTTAATTATCAATAACATTTCGTTTCTCACATATGTAGTACATATGTGAGAATCACTTTCAGAGGCTATCGAAGAAGAGTATATTCACCGGACTGAAGGCCATCAATCACTTTGGTCGACCAGACATGACGTCGTTTTTGAAATTTGTTCAAAAGAAACACAGCTATGTGCGTTTCATAATATTAGTTTTTATTAAAATGCACTCGCTCGACGCTCAGAAGCTGAAAGGACGTTTGAAGAAGATAAAGAGTTAATAAACGTCTTTCATGCTTTTGCGCGGCTCGCTATAATATTGCGCATATTGAAATTATTTTTTTAAATATGCTTATCGCATGCTGAATGATATTATTCATCTACAGGTTAGCAAAATAGGAGTATTTAGCTGTGGACCGCGTCCTTTGACGAAAAGCGTTATGTCTGCTTGCGATGAAGTCAATAAAACGCGGCGGCTGCCGTACTTCATTCATCACTTCGAGAACTTCGGCTAGTCTAATATACCTACTGCTCCCTGTTTGCATGAGACAATGGACTGTCAATGTGTTTGACAATCTCCACAATTTACATATTTAGCAGAATGTACATATTTATGCGCTAAAGCGTTGCTTTTTATTATTTATTAATTATTATGAGTATTACATTTCTTATTTATGAATTTAAAAAAAATCTCTCTTTTTTCCCTATTTTTTTATCTTCCCATTCAAAAAAACTTAGTTGTAATTTTGTTGTAATTTATTATAAAATTTCATTATAATTTATTAATTATAAAATTATTTATTATAATGTGTTAAGTATAATAAATTATAATGAAGTTTTGTTATTATATATATATATTTATTTATTTTGACTTTATGTCGTTTACATTTGTAATTATAATACAAATGCTCTTAAAATGGAATTTCCATAAATAATTCAAGTCAAAGACTTCTTGGAGATTCTCTTTTTTTATTAAATAATATTAAATAGTATTTATAAAATAAAATATATGTCTATATAAATATTTTTAATAGCATTTGGGAAAATTGATGAATATTAGCCATTAATGGTTCTGCGTGAGGTTGGCGGGAATGGATACGACCAATTACTCTTACTGGAGTCATCACCAATTTCTTGCGGGAATTCGGACAACTCGTGCGACGTATAGCCTCGATTAATGACACCTTCGGTATCCTCTCTAACGGCATGTCTACTTTGAAGTTTAGATGACAGTTGACTGAAACAATTTTTAAAACTATTGAACGCAAGAATTGGTAAAATAATTAAATTATAAAGGAAAACAGAAGGTTTTAAATTTTGAAGAAAAATTTGCGACTTTATTTTAGAGAAAAAATAAAACAAACACATTTCTTTGTTAAGTGTTATTCAATCTACTATATTTGAGATGTAGAAAATCGATTTATAATACAAAACTTTGCTATTAAAAATATAATAGTTTTTTGTCAAATGATAATACTAAGACAAAAAAAATAAAAAAAATAGCAAATTGTTTTCTTAAAAACCACAGAATCGTAACAAAACTTGAAATTTTTAGGTCTGTCTTTGTGTGTGGTGACAAAAAATTTTTATAATTTTAATAAATTTTGTATTATAAACTGAATTTTTACGTCTTAAAAAATGTGTAATAAATACGCTTAAACGGCACTGTGGTAATTTATTCCTTTTTCTGAAATAAGTTTGCAAATTTTACCTCTAATTTAATTCTACAAATCTCCCGTTTTCTCTTAAATTCGACTAATTTTAATGCAAACCTCATTATTCGATCACCGAACGAATCTTCAATCTTAGGAACTTTCCGTCTAACGTTACGCGTATCGAAACTTTCCTCTATAATGACGTGTCTATCGTACGGCGTGTCGTAGTCAACTTCGAGTATGGTTGAAAATTGATGAGGGAAAATCATGTCTATAGCTGTTATTACGAGTCCCGCAAAGAGACACGCGGCACCTATGAAGAAAAGAAATCGCAATTACGTACGTATGTCTGCACATTGATCGATCTTAATAAAATCATTTCAACGCAAGGACACGAACCAGCTGATAACACCAACCAGTAATTCCAACCAAGGTTGAAAGAAAGGATCGAGCCCTCGATGTGAGCTATCAGAGGCTCACATGGTAAGAGTGCCGTGTAGATCACGTTTGTTAACAGCATACATAAACCCGTAAAGATCATACCATATGCTCCATATCGCGGTACCACCATAAGTAACAAATTCATCATTAGCCATGAGGCAAAAGAGGTCCTGCACGAAAAAGATTCCTTATTTAAAATACGCGTATTAAATGGAAAAAGTGTTTATAATCGCGAGTTTTATATTTAAAATCATTTTAAATAATATCTTGAAATTTTAATATGGCTCTTTGATTGATAATAATAGATTATACTTAGCACAATTTTAAATTAGAATCGACTATTGGTGCTTTTCAATAAAAGGCATAGATCATCATTTCATCTCGGTTTAACATTAGCGAACAACAAAGATGTACTGATTTCGCTTTGTTAAACTGTGTCTTTTGTTGGAAAGTACAATATAAATATCGATCACAAAGCTATAGATATTAGGTAATATATATCTTAAAAAAAAAGGTCATTATTTAAGATAGTCTTGAAATAAGAATGGATTATGGCCTGTATTTCTAATCAATTTTTATATTTAAAACCGTTTTAAATACAGTTTCGAAATATTATAAATCGCAGAGCCATATTAGCGTTTTAAGGCATTACTTAAAATAGTCTTGAAATAAAAATGGACTGTGAATATACTAGCTGGCTGTATGACTTTCAAAATGATTTCTATGAAAATATAATATTTCATGACAGAAATAATAATATACCACAACATTATCGAAGCATAATATCCAGCTTCACGATATCGCGAACCCCAGGAGAATCCCTCTTGATGTAGACTGAAGTACTCCGCCAACGAGACAATGGGAAACGGCGCGCCCTGATGAAGGGCCTGCTTGAAGGCGCTGGACATCTCGCCAGAACTCCGCCACCAAAACCGTTCATTATACTCGACGTCACCGCTCGTCTGCTCGCTACTTGGCAATACTGCAACGATAAAATCTATTTGACGTAAGTGGATGAATCGTTGCATAAACGTTTGTTCAAAAATTGCAAGTTGCGACGTGCAATCACAAGTAGCGACACAAGTCATCTTGATATTAAAATGGCTTTAAAATGATCATTAAAAGTAATTTTTTAATCACTATTTATCTGAACGTTATTTTGACTCGTTTTACTTGGAATATAGCTCAAAAATTTCAATTTTAATTTTCAAACTTATTTTATTACATTCGATCAGCCCCAGCTCGAAAGCTTCAATTGTTGAAGCGCGTGTAAAAAAATTTAGATATCTAGCTTTCTTTACTTACGCCTGTATGTTATATTGATGTGCATTAAACCGATGTAACCGCCTATGTCGGCCGTTGCCTTATGCTTGGAGAAAGCGCTGTAAGAGCTGACAATGGTAGCGGAGCTCGTATGCCAGGATGAGCCGTATTGCGCCACTACGTGCGCATATAGAGAGCATAGCAATTATTCTTCCGCACGTTCGCGGCGTTACATTTGTGATTATCTCGATTAATCATTCCACAAATGGATTTCGCAATATTCGCTTTATTTGTCAGACGAAAAAAAATGTCTTTAGAATTAAAACACGCGATTTACTGCGAATACTACAGGCGGACAGTGACGTAACTAATATATTATCTCTACATATTTTCTATTCCGACTTTTTATTTGTTCTTTACCTTGTCGAACTCTCGCATTTAAAACAATATGTTGAGGAAAATAAAATATAGATAACACAATTCAGTGCAGCAAAAGTACAGATGAATTTCACTCATTATTTTTTGTCTGCTTTCGATTAATCTTTTTCTTTTCAATTTTTTTTCTCGCCTCTTCTTGTTTATCGGTCTCTTCGAACTTCGCGAAGCCAATCAGTTAGTTACGCCACTGGCAGCCAAGGCCCCTTTTGACTTGGAAAGTAGATAAAGTGCACGAACCTTGAATCGTCGCACCCACGAAGAGGCTCAGGGTAACCGTGAGAAATGTGGTTAACCGCTGCGACGAGAGAAACACTAGGTTTACACGACCAGAACACGCCAGAACTTGTAATTAATTTAAATTGTCGGTCACGATCAGACACGACGGAGGAATGGAAAACTGCTCACCTCTTTCCTGACGCCCGGGAATATGACTAGAAATGCTGTGAACAGGGTGCCGAATACCACGAATACGATAACCAAGGGAACATCACCGGTGACGGGAGTGCGGTTGTTGTAACTGTAGAGCGTCGGACCGCCGTCGTTGCGAAAGGCGTCGAACCATCCCTTCATCTTTTCCTGGATCAGCTAAGTTCCGGCTAACTCCGGAATCTGGGCCACTCGAATGAAAAACTATACATTACCGTCTTCGCTTCCCGCAGAGTAAATTGTATGCTACGCTATCAATATTTTCTTCGCCAATATACTGTACATTACTTTCGTACGCTATTTTGAAACAATTTTTATTTGAAAAAAAAAAAAAAAAAAAACTGCATAGGGTTTAACGACGGGAAGCGCAGACAACGCAGACTTTGAGAAGATATCTTCTGTTGCTAGGCACTTTATTCAGACGTTCTCTTGACTTTTTGTCATTTGGAGAACACTGACGGATCTTTATTTACGGGTGACATCACCGCGGATAAAAATGAAGATTCAAATTGACAGCAGTTGTTGCGATACAATTTTACAGAAATGCAATCTCGCAGCCATTGGCGCGATTCAAAAAGGATGGATGTCTTTCCCGGCTGGCCTTGACACACGGATGAATCCCGAAGGATTTTCCATTCCTTTGGGGGGGGAATTTACCTACGACCAGGCTGATTTGTCTCAAGGTCGGAGTTGCCAAAACGCTTGAGAAATCCTCGGCATGCGTTGAAAGCGCACTCGCGCACTGTGCGACATGTGGGACCGAAGGCGGCGAGTGTACTGGGGCCCCGTGCCCCGAGTGGGTTAACAGGCTCCGCTTGGAAAGCGGCTTCCACCAACGGACAGACGACCTCGTGCATTACCTGGGAGAGAGAGGAAGAGGTAGGGATGAAGAGAGAAAGAGAAGGTAATACCGCGGGTGGGGCTATGTCACCACGATGGTCATCGGCAGGAGAGAACGAGAGAGAAAGGCAAGAGGAACGGAGAACGTTTCAACGAGAAAGGTCTACGTTGGATCAGCTGATCTAATTCCCCCGTTCGCTCCGAGTTGACTTCTGTTAATCTCCTTTTAAATTTGATACCTCTTATCAATGCCGCTCATTAAGGAACATAAAGGTACTGGATAATCCAATTTTTTATATCAACATATCGATGCTTAACAACAACTACTTTTCAGACCATTATTTTAACTTTTTTTGTTAAACAAAAAAAACATTGAAGAAGTTCTACGTCTATTGCTTTTCAACATCCTATGTACTGAGAGAAAAATTTTTGGTAATTGTGATTATAATTGCGTATAAAATAATTATGATTAGAAGCTCTATTTTTATAGTTTTTATTTTGTTAATAAAACTTCATTAGAATAAACAATATAAATTAATTAGACAATGACTTTGCGGATGTTTGTATTCTTGAAATTAAATTAAATGATATTCGCTTCTCTTTACTCGTATTTATGGTATAGCTGTGTGTATATTTTACAAATTAATGATTGATTTAAAATTAAACGAGATGTATGTCAATATCCTTGCTATAATATGCTCTTTAAGCTCTTCTTTTTTATTATTCAATGATTCAATAAATCAACAAAATTAATAGGTAGCGATGTCGATGACACTTAATGTCAACGTGCGCGAGCTCACGGATTGCACGGCACGCGGGATGGCATGCGAGTGACATCGATGCCGGCAAACGAGACCACTTTCGTGGCAAACGAACGAGAGCTTCCAAAGTTCCCGAAATATTCCCGAATAGCATCTAGGACGATTTGGACTGCCATTTAAATACTCCACGAGGTGATGACTCGGTTTACAACCATGAAAATAGAACTACGGGTCTACTTAAAAAATCTTAACCGATTTACGCAAAAGGTTATAATTATAAGAGAAAAAGTTGTCACTACAAACTTTACCTTAATACATAAATAAGCAAATGTTATTTTATTTTTATTTTGTTTAACAAAGTTGCTATGTAATTTAGAGAAATATATTCTAAAGAAGAAATGACTGAATTTACAACAAATGAAAAGAATTTTTTCATGATTGCGATCATAAAATTATTTAGTGGTTTATTTTCATCTTATTGGCTTATTTTTAATTTTAAATAATAATGTAGAAAATAAATTAATTAAAATAGTATTTGAGAAAATGATTTATACATATACATATATTAATATATATGTGTATATTAATTACACTATAATAATATATTCGGAAGATAATGTATTGCAATCTCGTCATAATAATTTTGAAAATAATCCAGAGTTTTATAATTTGTTATTGTATACAAAATAAAAAACTAAATAACTGAAGATTTCAGAAATTAAAACTTTGCTTTATAATCCTCTGTGAAATAAATATATAATTATATAATCTTCTATTTATTCAAAATCATGCACTATAACTACTTCTACTACAAAGAGTCCTGGTTCAATTTATTATAATTAATTCAGAATTTATTATGTCAATATACAATCAATCAACATTTAATACACAGCGAATCGCTCTTGCAACCAAAAGTAACAATTACGATTTCTTCATTCCGCCTAAAACGTTTCAATCTGGCACAAGGTCTTTTTTCTCTTAAATAACATCATATGTCACATCCACTTTCTTCGGTGCACAAGAGAACGTTTAACACATCACGATGTCCTTCGATTTGTCGATGTCAGATGAACGATCGAGTCGCACTGAGTCGCATTATTCCGGTAACGGAAACGTATCGGACCGTATTCCGCTTGTTCTCCGAGGTCGAGTACCGCGGTATGCCGTGTCCAAGCCGGCTATGTTATACCGCCGCCAATAATTCCGCTATTTCGGGCCGTCTAATTTCGGGCCCGGTGACGCTTTGCTTTTAACGGCGGCGTTGATAGCGGAGCATCATCCAGCGTCGACGGTCACCACCACCACCGACAGCAATAACCACCGGAACGGCGAGAGTTCGGTGGTAGCGAAACCGCTGCTCGCTGCAGTCTCCTGAAGGCTTGGGCCTCCAACTGCCACCCGACGCTGGTCCTCCGATTCGTAAAGGTAAAATCAGCCCTTTCCTCTTCTTTGAAAATTTCGACATTTTCCATCAATTCGTAACACTTTCAAAATAGTGACTATAAGTCTATTTTGGATTCATTCAAACAATTGGTCAGGTGCGACATTTGGGCTGTATTTTGTAGTTGTTAAGAGTTCTCATCGACCGGTAGTTAATTTTGAATTTCTTAATATAATTACCGATACATTTTTTCGGGATACGGTATTTGATGTCTTTATGACGATTGAAACAAAAAAATCTATTATCTTTGACCTTCTTTAAGATTAATGTTACATAAAATTAGAATGTTGATGCGTCTGTTATAATAAAGATAAAAATTATTATTGAATCTTTTTTTAGGATGTCGAACAAAAATATAACATTAGATTATGTGGTAGCAATATGTTTATAGAGAAACTTTTATTTGATTCAAGTACATATTTATATCTACGATGCAAATTAATTTTAATATATATTATATTATAATTAATAATTTTCGGTGTCAATCTTTCAGAAAAATTTAGTAGTACGGGTTTATATTCGTGGATCTTGAAAGAGTTAACTATGAAATCATGTGAGTTACGAAGAAGAAATGACTTGGTGAAATAGCTACTAAAATACTATCAATTGATAAGAACTAATTATGAGAAACAATCTTTTAGAGGTAATTTAATTTTTGTTCACAAGCAAACAGGATATTGTCCACAAAAGTTATTTTTGCAAATGCGTCATCGCTTCTGGCATACACACAAATATTTTTATACATTTTTTTCATAAAAAGATATATTTGTCATAAAATTTAGATTAGTTTAAATTATTGTTTTTTATTTTTAATATAAAAGAAAAAGAGAGCAATTAAAGATTCAATTTAATTAAAATGCACGCGCAATTAAAATGGATTTTGTTAATTGTGTTATTTTAAAACATTACGTTCTCTTATAAGGATTTCGATTTTTTTGCGGTTTTCACAAAGTGGCAATTTTACCAAAAGTCTGAAAACGGGAACGCGGCGGTCTACGGAAATTGCATTCTTGTATCCGAAAATACGTGACCGTCGACGAAGCGAAAATTCGACGAGGCCGTCATCGTGAGTCGGTGAGCTTTAAGTAACAGGATGGTAAAGTGATCGTTGGCATGCTGCCACAGAATCATTTACTAAAAGTCATGGCTGCGCGATCGAAACGTACAGTAACGACAAACAGGATCAGAAGGATGAAATTGGATTAAATACGCGTAATTCGTATATAATAAATAATTATATAAAAAAAGCTATAAGTTAAGGAATCAAATCGAATAACAAGTTACTTATTTGTCTATTAAAAAAATAATAGGCAAAGATAAGGAAACACATTGCTATTTAATTTGGTTTCCCAAGTAAGAAGAAAATTTAAAAGACATCTATAAATAAATACAACTTAATTTGTATAGTGTTTTTTGAATATTCGTGTATTCGTATTTCTATCAGTTTCGTGAAATCTTTGTTGCTATAAAACCAAGTGAATAAAAGTTTTGGTGCCATCAGTAATCTATTCCCACAACCTCTGTGTATTCCTTTTATCAAAAATTTAAGAAAATTAAACTAATGGAGAGAAAAAAAGAGTGTTTACTATTAAATTCATAATGTAAAATTACAATCAATTTGAATTACTTTTAATTATTACTATAGGTTGCCACTGTTCCTACTGAAAAATTGATAAAGTGAACCGCGATGTGAAGAGAATCAAATCGATGAATGAAATTCTTTTTGTCAAAATCGATCTATTCATTGGCGATCCCATTCATTCGTTGTTAAATGGAGAGTTCGCGCGAAATCGCTTGGTAATCTCGTTGAGGAATCTCTGTGACGAACGAAACGCAAGCACTTCCTCGCGGTAGCGATTCGAAGACGTCTTATACCTACACGCTGCAACTCGCCTATTTATAAAGTGCGACCTCGTGGCATACACCGCGTTCGCCACTACCGCCTACCTATCATGGTCGTCCCGCGTGCAAATCAGCGCGCTGTCTAGCCCGCTTCTTCCTAATTTCCGAACGTACGAAAAACAGGTCAGAGCTATTTTCGCGCGAAACGGCCCACAAAGCCTCGAAAGTGCGGACGACGACGTCTCGTTAGAACGAACGGTGTACTACATGCGTGCACTACCGTCTCTACTTCACTGTTCCTCCTCTGTTACCCTTGATAACCGAGCGAGCCTTTCGATCTAGAATAAATCTGGGAACGTCGCGAAGAAGAAGGTAGGAGTTTGATTCGCGTGCTACGCGAAACTATAGTTAATCCCCTTGCGATTCCTGTCGTATCGCGTATCTGACATGACATCGGATTAATTGTAACATGAATCAGATTTGTGAGTTAAATCTCATAAAATCACTTAATGCTTTTATCGTAAATTTATCAGTCGAAAAAAGAATACAAACGTATTTATCGAAATAATTTACACAAAGATGCGCCCAACTCAAAAATTTAAAAAATGATAAAACTTTGACGGTATAAACTATATAAGAACATTAAGAACGTATTCCTCCTGGTTAAGTTTACACATTCTTTTATAATTTTTTAAATAATAGATAAATTTTCTAATCGATAAATTTTAGAAAAAATATGTTTTTCCTCGTTCAATTTTGTTCTATTATTTCTTTCCTTGGTGAGTAATAAAGCAAACACGAAAAATAAGTCAAAAAATTTCAGGGATTTTATCTTTTTAAAGTAAATTTGTGGACAGTAAAAAAATATTATTATACATATATATTAAAACATCTTTCTGTGTACCAAAATTTTTTGGAAATCCTGAGCTCCTTTTGTTAGTTAAATTGAAAATTAGAAAGATCTTATTGCTGCAATGTGTTCTTAAATAAGAGCGACTTGTGATAATCTTTTCACTTTGATATTAGTAGGGAAAAATAAAATTGCAAATATATTATTGTTTCCTAATAGCTGTGTTTACTTTTCTAGGCGTCCAGTTGGTGCAGTGTGCTGAAATGTCGGAAATAGAAGGTGAGGGCCTCTTTACGAGCTCTGTCACGACCATGTTGCTTGAGTATCATCGTAGATAGATAAACAAGTGTCAGTGGAGGAAGTCACGGGAACGAGAGTAATTCAGCGTATGCGTGCAAAAATGTAATGTTCAATATGATCAACGTAATCTGTAACGGAATGCAGAGCGTATTAACCAAAAATTCTGGATTCCGCATTCGCTCGCACAATCAAAACGTACCTCTGTCTACTGCCTCTGGGGCGCAAACAGTTTACATCCTGTCGCATTTCCGTGATGTATAATGCCGCTGTGTTCGCCACTGCACTGATGTTTATTAACAAGAAGCGTTCACCGAGCTACGTCATCGATCTTTATAAAACTCTGCCTCTCTTATACAAAGCTGGCTAGAAATAATAAGAATCATATATTTATTCTTTTCTTGTCGAGATTAAAAAACATCTAAGTTCAGTATACTTTTCTGTCAAAGAAATTATTTTCAAACACGATGCTTTAAAGATTAAGTTAGAAGAATATTTATAAAAAAAAACTTAATGAGAGATCATTGCATTTTATTTTGTGTAACTTTCAGTAATGCACACAGAAATTGGATGCGAATTTTTCAAAGGTATGCTCTCTAAATTTGAATTACAATAAATAATTAGTAAAGTTCAACTAAAAAAGGAAAAAAGTTGGAGCATTATATACTCAAAGTACTCATATTTGTATGTTAATTTCAATCTAATTCTAATATTATATTCATGGAATTTGTGTACTAAACAAAGTCAAGTTAGATCACGTAATAAAGATTAACTAGATTAAGGGGATGCTGGAGTGACCAAATTATTGACATACATTCATATAAAAATCTCCTATAATTGATTAAACGGAATCAAAAATCCTTTTACAGAATTAAAGTAGACGCAAAATTAGAAGGTACTGCAGTGGATTTTATACTAAATCGAAAAAGTTAAGTAAACTTCTAACTTTTTTCGATCACTAATATCAGTGTGATACCACTGATTCAGATTTAGAGAGTGAACATATTGAGTTGAACATTGAAACATTCTTTGCCATGACATGTAAAATTTCATTAAAAATTTCGACTAACGCATCGAGAACTTTAATCTTTTAAGCCCCGTTGCATTTGCTCATCAAAAGAAACATCTATTCATTGCGGATGATCGCTTCTCTTTTCGATTAACGTACATGCGCTGGTATTGCTAGACGTTTATTATTTTTAATTCGCTTTTGCAGATTCGCAGGACGCTTCGGAGCAAGATGATACACAAGATGAGACCACGGAAGCAACAGAAATTAACCATGAGGTAGCAAGTACGACAGAAGAATCGGAAAACTCAGAATTGTCAGAAAAGTCGTTTACTAAGGAAACAGAGGAGGAACAAGGAGAAGTTGAGGACAAGAAACAAGAGGAAATTAAAGAGAAGGAACGAGAAGAAATCAAAGAAACGGAACGAGAAGAAATAAAGGAAAAAGAAGTAGAAAAAATCGAAGAAACAGAAACGAGGGAGACACCAAGTCACGAAGAGACGCAAAAAGAAACGTCGGCCTCAGGTTGGTAACGTTGGTGACTCGTACTTTGATCTACTTATCTAGTAACATTAGAAGTAATTTTATAGTCATCTTGAAATCGAGAAAATTTTACGCGAGGAAATTATTTAACGTCAAATGTTACGAGATGCAACATATTTTTATATCAAACTTAAATCTGATATAAAAATATTAAGTGATTAAATAGTAATTCAAGAATTATGCAAACAGCAATATCACTATAATGTTGATCTAAGAAGAGCTATTTATGTATTTAAAGTATGATATATGCATCATACACTTTTAATACACACATATGAAATTCATAAAACTAGAGAATCGCTCTAAATGTTTATAATTCATTTTTTACGAACGAGATACATTGTAGCAAAATGTATCGTTAAAAGAGTGCTAAAATTTGAAGCTTATTCTTTGGTTTCTGAGAATTCGAAAATTTGATCCCGTGCCATCTTGTTTTTGTTAGCTCCTTCCAACATTAAATATCTTGATATAGTTAAACTTGCAAGAGGGCCCGCGAGCTAAATCTAGATAAAAAGAATAATTTTAAACTTAGTTAATTTAGTTAAGGATGACAACTAGAAAATGAAAGCCTTAAACAGTCATACTAGTGTCATTAGTGTATTAAACAATTCGATATGAATTTACATATTCATATGTCCAGTCCAGCGCGTCGAATTTAAGAAAGAAAATTTGCGAACAAGATCGCGTTCATAAAATGATCTTAAATATAAAAATAAACTGTGAATACGATCCTAGTTTCTGCTGACTTCAGACTTCACTCTTCAGTTAAAAAAAATTTATTTAAACAATAAGAATCTTATTGGACCGTTCGCGTTCATGTGAATACACAATCAATAGGAAATAAAGCTCATAATCGAAACTGGATCTTTGATGTTTAAATAATTCGGTGTAAATTTATATTCTGTCGTATCAAATTCTGTCAAACTGCGCACCGATTTGATTTTTCGGTCTTAAAACTCATAGACCTACAGTAGTACTATCCTAAATTAAATTGCCTAGCAATTTAATAATTTAACGCTCATAGAGGCTTCTTAGAAAGATCTTAATAATACTGATAAATTAAAATCTGTAAACAATTTAATACGAAAATGTTACCTCAACCGGAGATCACTCTGACGAAAATACAAATCGGAGAATGAATAAAATATAAAGAGGGAGTAACAAAAATGTAAGCAAACGTTTTAAAGGAACATAGATTGGAACAATGAAGTGTAAATGGAGTATACAAAGCGTTTTAACGTTTTCCATTGTTCCGATCTATGCTCCTTAAAATGTTTGATTACGCTTCTGTCGCTCTCCCTTTACATTCAACTTGCATTCCTTCTTACCTTACGTCTTTTATTTTTGCAAGAGCAAACTCACAGCTCTTGCATTCCGTGCAAGCGTTCTAAGCCTCTAAACATCTAAACTACCGAAGCTTTGATGATTAATATTCTTTGCAATAATTAGTATATGTATAAAAACAAAAATTGATTTACATTTACTATTTAGGTAATGGTCATACAATTTTTTCTTAGGGCTTGAAAAACAAAATATGTCTTCATTACATTCGTTGATCATGACTTTTTACCTTTTCGCTTTAAGGGAAAAATTATATAATCGCTATATTACTGGATTCAAAGTTGGGAAATCTTTTATTTGAAATTAAATTGAGGGTTTCTAGGACATCTCATGCCGGTTAAAATAGAAATTCTATTAATTTTAAAGAAACTGCGCACAAACTCACGCACTGCGTACATGGCGTGTTTACATCGCGCTTGTCGGAACCAATCGGCGTTGCCCGCTAAGTCGTCGACGTGTTTGCGTTAGCACTGCCATTATTCGCATAGACGTTCAAGCGTTTATTTGAATAGCGACGTCAGCGGATAGTTCAGCACGGATATTCGGCGATCTGCGTTTCGCGGTATGTTTCAAGGAAATCTAAACTTTTCTTACGCGCGCGAACTATTTCGGTCGCGCTACAGGTTCCCGCGTTATTTACAAATCTTACGTTCTCGCAGCGATATACAAGTACACAGTTACCTGATACTACAATGGAAACGTCTGATATAAATTCTCAGAATATGAAATACCGTTACTACAAAGATTAAAATAGAATTATTGACGGCAACGACAGAGAGAGAGAGATCTATTTAGTGTTCTGGAACTATAAGGTCCCCTTAATCGTTGCGATCTTTTACAAAATAATTACAATGATATATAGAAAAATTTACTAGAATGCAATAAAGCAAAATGTATAAAGTGTAAGCAGAGAGGAAGAAAGAAAGAGGGCAGAGAGGGAGGGAGGGGGACACAAGGATATAGAAATAGCTAGACAATGCTCTTATACAATCGGAACAATGAACGGAACGAAAGAAGATCAAATAGCGTGTAAAGAAAGAGAGCAGAAAAATTGGCACAAAGACGATCCAGTGGAAGAGAAATACCACAAGCTAGACGTTAGCGTGCATAAAAGGGAAAATTTCTATTGTCTTTATAGTTTTCGAAGTTTTCGGTTTCGTCTGGTAAATTAGAATGTGTCTCGTTTTCGGACGGGTTTGCAATCCGTAAAAAAAAGAAAAGAAGACTGCGAAAGCTTGTCCGTCCGGAAAGAGAAACGAAATGGGCGGTGAAGTTAAAGTGGAACGCAACAACTGGGGTGCAACCAATGTTATGTATCTGTGCGTGCACATTCGTCTACTACCTTCTCTCATTCTTAAATAGAACAACGAGAGTTAAATAAGGAATACATTTCTGGATAACTTTTTTACAATCAATTTTTGATTGACAGCAGTAAACGTAAAAGGGGGTTGTTTTAGTAAAACGCAGTAAGCGAAAAGAAAGAAACGAGAACAGCTTTATTGTCATAGCTAGCGTCACTTTTGTCAAATCATACAACGTCAGGCAGCCTCAATTCCGACGTTATTTCGCAACCGTCGTCATTATTTACGCCTTGATTTCCAAAAATAAAAATATACGAAACTACATGCGGTTGCATTAATGGTACAATATAACAACGCAATAACATGATTAATGGGACAGGCGAGGCGCGGTAGTAAGCCGTTATTAGACGATCCCCACTGTGCAAAATCACGCGATAAAGAAAACGCGCGCGAGCGTTTTCAGCTTTGTGAAACGCGTCTTGGTACCACACGCGGGTAGTTTCGCGCGGCTTCACCATGGCTCGCCTCGTCTCGCGCCGCCCTCGTCCCGCTTCCGTTACGCTTCGCGCAGCAGCTGCACAGGCGTCGAACGAGCGACCGAAAATAAATCCCCGCGGAGAGAGAATCCCCGTACGTTGTTTTAAATAAAGCGAGCACGCGCGCGATAGCCGAAGAAGCCGGAGCCGGTCAGCGCGCGCGTTTCGTCGCGATCTCCACTCGCGTGCGCCGCGCTCGATCTCTTTCACTCTCTCTCTCTGTCACTCTTTCTTCCTTCTCTTCGCGAGGCGCGAAGAAATCGCGCGTCCGCGCGCAGCAACAGTAGCGGCAGCGCGGCAGACGATCGCAATCGGGTAAAAATACGGTGTTCCAATAGCGCGCGTTAAAACTCACTGTGCGTGTTGCTTTTCCTTCTCTCGCATTCTGTTTCTAGCGCGTATCATTCGCTATCGCGCGTCCCTTGAGAAAGGAAGATTTGACGGTGCGCGGCGTATATACGATCGAACGACGTCTCACTGAGATATATCGAAGCTCGCGCCCGCGAATCGCGACAGATGCGACGCGCGGGACGGATTGTCGCGCGCGAAAACCGGTTGTTTTACAATGCTTCTAACAAACTGCCCCGCGACCCGCTCTCAGCTCGCGCGATGCTCTTAAAACGCGCGACGCGTTGACGTGCCAAAGGGAGACTCGCCGAAGCTGTTGGACGTGCGAGGTCTTGACAACGCGTGTCTCTCTCGTGAAGCGATAAGAGTGCGAAGCGAGTTATGTTGGAAAGCGCGGCGATGACATGTGGAAATAACCCGGTTTCTTCTTTTCCTTCTGTTTCGATTTAGCCCGTTCGGTGGATACCATTTGTTAAAATTTACCGTCAGATTTCTCTCGTGAGCTGCAGATATCGTTTCGGTAGGAAAATAGTGTTTTCTTCAATTTATATGCGATATCTTGCCAATGGTTTATTTATTATTATCACAGTTGGAGAATTTGTGTTAAAATTAATCAATTTTATATGTTTCAAACGGTCCACTTAAGTTTTGTGTCAGTTTAATGTAAGATGAATGTCTTATAAAGTAACACAAATATATTATATTAAAAATGTTTGCACAGAAAACGTGTTACTGACATAATTTGTAAGCAATCATATTTTTTTATTAATATTTCTTATATAATATATTAAATTTACATTTTATTTCTTTACGCGTTCAAAGAAATATTATTTTTTCATTTATTTATACATTATGTTAATTTAAAAAAGGTTGAACATCTCAATTTCATACAAAATATTCAAATAATCATATTTTATTGTAAATTAACATTCGGATATATAAAAAATTCAACACAAAACTACAAAGATTTAAGTGGACCGTTCTTAAGAGAAATACAAAATATTTCTTACTAGATGGTAGGTCCGAATGTGATTGGCTATTGTTATTTATTATTATTAAAACGATTCACACTATATAGATTCGCGTTTTTTTTTAATCGCACGATGCATATACGCGAAATTGTAATCCGATTGTAAAGCGTGACATGGACGGTGCTTTTCGGAAACGAATGTCGAAAGCTCGGAGAACCTTGACGAGAGTTTCTGTTAAAATATTAAATCGTTATAAAGAGTATTTTCAGGAAGCACACACACACACACACACAAGACGCGTAAACCATCGACGCGAGTAATCGAATATACATAATTCAGTCTTCGAGAAGCACCACTTGTCAAGATTTATGCTCGGACTCTTCAATCGCGCGGATTAAAAATAGCGATCGTTCTGGCAGAAAAGCAGTGAGTTTTCTTTCGCTATTCAACTAGCAAAGCAGTAACTTGCCGCTGGCAACATTTTATCCACGTAATCTAAGAAACATAGGTATGAATCTTCACACTTGCGTGAAAGTGTAATTTTATTTTGCTACGTTATTGCAGAGTTTAGTTAATTTCTTATATAATACTTTGATATAATTTTCTATACAGCCTTACCGTTCTGCATAGAATTCAGTCATTAATTTTTTCCAATAATTTTTCAAATAATTTTAATTCAATATACATATAAGTTGTAACTATCTAGTAAAGCCAACATATAAATTACATCTTCCTACATAATCTAATTAAATAGACTCAATGCGATTATGCGAATAATTATTCGATTTATTCCTCTCCAGCAGAGCTGGCGACCGTCACGAGAAGCGCGTCGTCGGACGACGGCGTGCCGGTGTCGGGAGTAGTTGCGAGGCAGGTGGAACCAGGTATAGGAGCACCATTGGCAACCACCGTCGACGACGGAGACGGACAGCAGCGTCGCACCAGCAGCGGTACAAGCGCGGCAGTCGGTGAGTGGAATTCATTGCCGGTACTGGTAGAACGTCTACGCGAGGCGCTCGAGTTGTCCCTGGCAGCGGGTTGCCGGCGAGGCAGCGACGAGCCGACGGCGACGTCGCACGGTGTCCCCGGTGTCAACGTCGGCATCGGCGACCGATCCTGCGCGCGCCGTTCTATGGAACAGGTGCTACTTGGCAGCGACCACGACGTGCTGCCCGTGTCGAGGAAGGACGAGCTCAAGTTCCTGGAGGATTTGCTGCTGTCGGACATCCAGACCGCGCTCTCTCGTTTGCGCGAGACGCTCGAACGCACGGATATCGCGACGCTCACCAAGTACGGCGGAGTATCGGATCCCACGAGTAAGCTACATCTCTTGCGATTGGTATCGAGCCTGTTGTCGCGGCTACAGGTGCCGGCGGAAGAGAAGGAATCGAGTAGCAGCGAGAGCGACAGCAAGACGATCGTGAGACAGGGTGGCAACGGCGGTGCGCTACCCGGACGAAGACGACGACCTGCCAGACACACTATCGGCGTCTCCACCGAAGAGATCGCACACGCGAGGAGGCAGCTGGAGGAGAATAGTACGAACCTAGCAAGATTGAACGACCAGGTGTTTCAGATTGAACGACCTGAACCATTGTTGTCCGCGTCGCGTAACGTGACGAGCGGCGAAAGACCACACGTGGAAGAGATCCACGACAAATACACGAAGGACGTGATTAATCAGCGTCAATCGTTGCGTGACAGGAATAAGGATACGTGTGAATATCGACCATCGATCCCGCCACCGGGTGGTTACGTGGATCGGCCGGCAGTTGCGCTTAGAACGACGGATGAATCGAATACACGGCAGATTCAACATCGGGACAACGTCAACGATTACCAGGAGAAGGTGAGCGACAACGAGGAGACCGCGATCAAGAAGGCCCTCGAGGAGCAGAGTCAAGTGACGAAACTCGCGGCGGCGCTTCGGCAACGCGCAGAACTGATTAGCGCCAGCAAATGCAATAACAGCAGCAACAAGTTTGCAGCGAAAAAGTCGAAGATCAAGCGCGCCAATACCATCGACATCCCGAGCTATCTGAAGTTACAGGCCGACAGTCTCGGTTACGACAATCCCGGCTGCGTAGTGCTGCGACGTCCCATCAACGTTGGCGACAAAATTACTACGAACGCATCCAATCTTGGCGTGCCATCGTTCCACCCGAAAACGGAGAATGACAAGAAGTTCCTGGCGTTGATCAGCCGAAACAACGAGGCGCAGACAACGTACAACACTGCACCTGCCTTTGTCAAATCCTTCGGTTGTATCAAGGCGACAGACATGTCAGCGCAGGCGAAATCAGGCGCAGACAACGTACAACGCTGCACCTGCCTTTGTCAAATCCTTCGGTTGTATCAAGGCGACAGACATGTCAGCGCAGGCGAACAAGAACTGGAACAGCCGATTTTCGAACATCAAGACCGCTTTCGATAAGCCTTCGTCTACGAACGACGTCGACAAGTTATCACCAAGACTGCAAAACATCACAAAACGCTTCGCAAATACTCCTCAAACGTCTCCTCAGAATCCGATGAACAAAACGATGCCGAGCATTGGCGGCACGACAAATAACAGCTTGTCGTTCGCGAAAGTAAACGTGCCGCAGTCAGACGCGGGCTTCAGACACGCGCCTTCATCGCTGTTTCGGAAGATTGAGAAGCCGTGTGTACCAAAGTCTCCGCTCGGCCATCACTGGCAAAGAGACAACGCACTACCGCCCGGAAGCTCCTTGCGCGAGAAAGCCAAGATGTTCGACCGAAACGGTAATCAATTCCAACCGCCGCCGTTCAACGTGAACGAGAATACCCAGAAATCCGCTTTTCCTCGACCACCATGGATCGAACATGACAGAAACGAGAACAAATCGAATAAGATGGTCACCGAGAACGGACGGCTCGATTATCGATTGTTCTGCAAGCAGTTCGCGCCCTTTGTCGGCAAGAACACTGTCCCGGAAGCCAAATGCATCGAAGATTCTCGCAGACGCAACGAACACTCGAACGCCCATCGCAAGGACTTGGCGCTATTGAACGAGAAGTTTGGCGTGGTGGATGGGAAAATTTCCTTCAGGATGTTTCCAGAGAAAGGATCGCAACTCCAGTATCGCCCAAACCAGCCACATCATATGATTGAGGAATCGATTCGGGACAAATCTGATTCTCATAGTGAGAAGAATGTCTTTGAACCACTAGTCACAGTGCGCAATGATAAGAACTCAGCCGGAACCACATTCGCGGGCAACGCACCGATTGATGCGATGTTCAGAGGTAGCGCGTCTGTGGCCATACAGACCGGTCTTGACGATAACAGTCATCCTGAGGAGGCACGAGTGTTTCGAGTGACTCCTAAAGTCGCAAAGGGACCACCGTCTACATACAGTAACGTGTCTGTTCAAACTTACAACGAACCGGAAGTAGAAGCCAAACAACATTGGACGACTCCTCAATATAATGACGCTGTTCCGGCATCAGACTTGAGTTATCATTCTACCGGGGATTCGAGTCACTTTGTCTTGGATCACAATCGAAATTATGCCGTGACGACTAACATCGCTTCGAGCAACGAGACGCTACCTTCAACAAACAAGAATACTTGTGAACTTGTCAAGAAAGACACCGTTTGCGCGCCGTATTCGACGGAGAAGGTCCCCTTTTCAGCAACTTCCGATCATCAAGAACAGCAAGAATTAAACTTCCGAACGAGTCCGCGATGTGAAAATTATTTCTCGCCTAAATCAGCGATTGATAATCAATCGCCAATATATCCGACTTATATCCCGTACGTTAAATCTAATAAGGATCTGTTTGAGGATCAGATCCCAAACGTGTCGCATGAGATCGACAAGGAAAATTTCCTGTGTACGAGTGACAGCGCTTTGCCAGAGGAACAGAATATCCAAAATCAGGATATCAGTGCGGATACCGGCGTCGTTACACGGTACACTTGCGCGATCGCGACTGTTGCATCTAAGGACGTTCCAAAGACACGCGTCGACGAAACTAGACCGGAATCTGGAATGTCATCATCTGGAATATCCTTCTCCTCGTCACCTTCACAGCTCTGGCCGTATCCCAAATTAACCAATAGCGAGACCACCACTACCGAAGACGAAATACGTCGACACAACTTGCTACAACAGAGCCTGGTCCGACAGTTGCAAAACGAGCGAGTGATGTTGAACGATTATCATGCGCCTGTCATCAACCAATCTGGCAATTTTAATCAGTCTAGTTTTCAATCTAACAGTTTTAATCAGTCTCTAAGGTTCCAACCGGTCGAAGTACCGAAAAGCCCGGAACCGCCGAAGAGACCGGAACTGCCGAAAAAACCGGAACCACCGAAAAGGTCGGAACTGCCGAGGAGGTTGGAACCTTCGAGGAAATTGGAACCGTCAAGGAAGTTGGAACTGCCAAAGAAATTGGAGACACCAAGAAGGGTGGAATCGTCAAGAAAATTACAGCCTCCAGCGGTTGTCACTGGTTTACTGTCAGTAGCACCATCCTCCGGATTCAGCGCGAAGAATCGGATTACCGCTCTCAGAGAACAGTATGAACAACCAGACGGTCAATCAAGATCCATACAAAAGGAACACTCGCCAATCCCGAACGGCACGAGCAGCGCAATGGATTCCAGCGACAAGTATCTCGTGTCCTGCACCAACAGACCGTCTAGATCCATTGTCTTGTCGAAGTCTGAATCATGGCATCAACTGGCACTCTCGAAGAGTCATCAAGCTCCGTCACGTCCAGTACAGAATAACTTACCACCGCAATATCTCGCTAGCACCGGGTCATACCTTCCCAAACCACCCAAGCCAAAGTCACCATCGTCCTTTAAGATGAGAAAGCAATACGAGGCATCCTCGTCCTTGGATAGCGTGAAAAAGATGGAGGACAAAATACGCAGGTATTTCGATAATCCGGCAAACGACGGTGCCACGGAGACGAAGGATTCCAAGGGTAGACGTTTCTCGTCCCGCGACTCGGTAAAAAAAGGTCTTGTTGGTCTATCCAGAAGTCGCACTATGCCAGGAATATGCGAGGAGAATCTGCGTCTAACGATCCCTGTAGTGCCACAGATTTCCGTAGCGAGCCTCAATAGTGCCGACGTGGACAAAGTGTTCGATGACATCTTTGAAGAGGCCACCAGGACTGATGACCATTTCTGATCAACTGATTCTCATCGTCATAAGACGTCGGCGTGAAGTTCACTTGGGAGACTTGGTGACGGTAAAAGTGGTGTCCGTTCGGGATTTTTACGAGTAATTTTTCCAGAGCCGACGATATTTCGCGCTGTATTTGAACATCGTGATAAGAATAACGATTCTTATACGATCACCATTAATTTCATCACAAATATGCAACATAATTGATTGATAACATGGATCGTTAAACTGTGATCTTGTCTATTTTAATTCGCATAGCCTGCCGTTGACGGTTGTAATTATTCAGAACGCGTCGTTACATAGACGGTTAATTCTAATCAGATTATTTATGTTAGAAATTTGCAATTATTGTTGGTCACTTATTTCCACAACATTATTTCTGTAAACATTAACTAAGATTCGGGATTAACTGAGATTTAACGGTTCCTTTACTTCCCTGCAAGTTGACTACAGTGTTATGAGAATAGTCTACAGTATCTTCTTTTTAATAAAAAAATCTAGTATCATTTATCTAACTGCATTTTGTACAAAACGCTACGTGTTTCAATCTACAAATTATACGTTAATTATTACAAATTATTACGTTAATGAGTTTGAAATCTAATCTAATTTGCTGCGCCTAATTCCCGCGGTCGCTTAGATTGCTCTAGATTTGAAATTTGTATCGAGATCGAAGTTCTGTTCGTACTAGATAGCTTGCAATATTAGAATAGATCTAACAGATCTGATTAGAAACCACAACTTCGAGGGACGAAAGCATTTCACGATGTCCGTCTCGACACGAAGCTCTTTGCGAAAGCAGCACGTTTCTTGCAATCACGGCGGAATCGACGTCGATACCTGGTCCTCGTCCATTATGAGAGACGGTAGTGCAGATCGATTCAACGATTATCGCCATCGCCAGTATCCACACCTCATCTCACTCTTCGTTCTTCTCACTCAAGATCATCATGAGCGCGAAAAGCGGCTCAAGCAACCTGGAGCTACTAAATGCGAAATCTGCTGTAACCAGCAAGAAATAAAGAACATCGTGCAGCGCATCAGTTACATCGCCGTTATTTCGCTCGATGCACGTAATCTAACTGCAAGCCGTAAAATCTACGTATAAAACAGTCACACGCTTTACACGCGCGATGCTCGTGGCCCGCGTGCTCTTCCCCTTTCTCTCAACTTTTTCTCTCTCAATATTTTTTCTTCTCTCTTTTTTTTTTTTTTTTTTATTTAAACCCTCAAGTCGCGAGCGCACATTCTCGCGGACGGAGTCGCTAAGACGCTAAGAGGACCATGCCAATCCCCGAATAAAGCAGTGAGTCACAGCCCTTATTTTTGTTGAACCTTTTGTTACGCAGTGGCGTATAGAGCTTGCACTGCTGCGAGTGTGTCTAAGAGTGTAATCATAATGTACGCGCGCTGGTACAATTGCAGAGCATAGCGATGCTGTGGTGGCCTGACTCAGCTCAGATCTCTCAGAAACATCCCCCGAAAATACGGGCGCTGATAAAAATCCAAGGCGATATTTTTCCGCCACTTAAGATGTAACTCCACGACACGTAATTGTAACTGTATAATATTTTGCAGTATTCGCAAAATGTATTACATCCAAGTAACCAATTTTTCCGAAAATTTGAAAGAATTTTTTCATATTCGTGAAATGTATCGTAGTGCGCAATAATGAAAAATTAATAATTACAATTATATACGCATGTAATGTTTTTTAAATAATATATATTACATTTATTATCTTTTTTCTTTATACAAAGAAAATGTGAAAATTAAGCAGCTTTTTGCCGGAGGACTTATATGATAATTGAGCTGGCATGGAAACAATCTTACATAAACATTGTAAACAAAATCAACAATTTTGACGCGTAATTTTGCTTTGAAACAGTCATTCTGCAAAATGTGAAAAACACAAATGATCCTCAAAAACAAACTAAAATAACAGACAGTAAAAGTTCTTTATCGACGACAAAAGATTTACATTGACTTGTACACCCAACAAATTAAAAAAATTTCTGAGATTGACATAAACATTTTTAATTCTTCTTTTTTCATTGTCTTTATAAATTACGGAAAGAGAACAGCAAATGAATTTGGATTCCTTTTACCCTCTGGAGCTGACAAACTCTGTAATACAGTTATAGTGACGCTGGATTTGTAAGACTCATATATTTAATTCGTCAATTCATGTTAATTAAAAGGCATTGATTAATTTTCAGAAATCAAAATAACGTAATTTGTACAAAAAAGAATGAATACTAACAATAAGTACATTTTAATAAGAATAATCCAAATTTGTAAATACAACATAAAGATAAATTTGAATTGTTTGCATTTTTTGATAAAGAGATTTATAATTGTGTGGGTCCAATAGACACCCTTCATCAGCTCTAGAGGACTAAACGCGTCGCCTGATTGACAAATATACCCTTATTTGCCGCCACATCCTCGTGGAAGTACAAGTGCGTGTGTAATATGTACACGCGTACGGACATACTTTTTCAATGCTCGTGCATGGCGATGATGTCGAGCGATGTCGATCGATCGACAAATTTAGCCTGTCCACTTTACAGTCAAACTCGATCCTTTTTTTTTACCAGGTTTGTCACTTCCTCGTTACTAGTAAAAAAAAACTAAAGAGATACTTGAACAATTAATATCTGTACAGACACATGTACGTTCTCCGTGATCGTCATATCCTGTTCTTTTTCATACTAAACTGTTATTGAATTTGTTTGTAAGACAACTAATGCATGTCACGGGCACGCGACGAGAGTGATAGATGAACGATTCTGCTAGATCCAGACTTTCTAATAATTCGCATCTCTCTGACGCCTTTGTGACCAAGATTCAGTTATAAACAATTAAAATAGATATAGAGAGAGACATTAACACTTCTCAGTTAGATTTAGTATGCATCTCGATACGAGTCTAACATATATATTGTGCTTTTTTAAACATTCGTAGCCTTACAACGATCTGTTCGTTTTTCAGCTCCAAAAAAGCCGCTGTCGCCGTTCGCCAAATTTCGTCAACTCGATAGACAAAATAGCGCCAATTTGTCGCCAAGGTGAGAATAGAAATTAAAACTACACAAACAATTTGTGTTTAATTCCAGTTATTAACTCAATTTTAACACATCTAAATAATTAATTTTAAAACACGTAACTTTCTATCCTCTTGAACAATTTCATATTTTTAACTCGTGTAACTTTTCTTCTGGGAGGGGAATGAAATATGCTAATTTACTTGTTGCATGTTCATTTTTTTGTTTCTAAATTGTTTATTTAGCCCTGTAAAATCGCCGGCAACGGAATTTCGATTCAAATTTACCGAACCAACTGTACGAGATAATGCTGCGCAAATTAAGGAGCGATTACTGGCATGGTGCCGATCGAAAACCAAAGAGTATGAGGTAAGTGCATCGCGTGTTGTGTAAAATAATATTGATCCGTTATTCGCGAATTCTTAAGACATCCTTGTTGTCAAGGGAAAGCGCGTTGCAGTTAATGATAGCTATTGAATTACATAATATAAAAACTTCATTCTTTCTGTTTCACAGAATATACAGCTTGACAACTTCTCGACAAGCTGGAACAATGGTTTAGCATTCTGCGCATTGATCCATCATTTTAAGCCGGATGCTTTCGACTACAATTCTTTACGTCCAGAGAATCGCAGGAAAAACTTCGAACTTGCTTTTACGAAGGCTGAGTAAGAATTCCAAATTTTTTTAATTTCACATTGTTTTTAATTTCATGGGATTATTAATTGATTACTTCTTTCTTTTCCGAATGTATAGCCTTTTGTGCTTAATTGTGTCGAACACTTTTTTGTTATTCATAAACTAAAAAAAATCCTCTTTCTTGCAGCGAAGTCGCTGGAATCGCGCCGTTACTTGATGTCGAGGACATGGTGATGATGCAACGACCAGACTGGAAGTGCGTCTTCACATACGTTCAGTCCATCTATCGTCGCTTCAAGGATGAAGACTAGTGGCTATAGTTTATAAATCGCAACAGCAGTAACATAATTCCATTTCATGCCAAGGCATAACAATGATTGCTACTCGTAGAACAAAGTCTTCTTTTTACTTCATATGTGGTGGTGAAGAACAATAGCTATTTCTTTTTTTTTATATGCGTACATTCAGATTGGTGTTTATGTAGCCACATATGAAACAAATCTGATAGTAAGCGTAGAATTTCGGATAATGTTATTATTTCAGACAATTTTATTACAACAATGATGATGATGGTGATGACGACAATAATGACAATTATGATAATAATTAAGTCATTGAAATCAGTCTCACAATCGTGTGAGAAGCTAATGCATTCGTACACATATATGTCTTATATTTTCATATCTCGTATATTTTCTTGGCACACAGCCTTACTAACTACTTTTTACCGATGATGATACAGCTAATAATTTCTATGAAAATACGTGAATAGTGTTCACGTGTAAGCGAAGCGCAAAGTGGCTACCAAGTGACATTAGCGTCGATGTTATAAAACTAATTAAGATAATCTTGAGAGTACCAAAGAGATTTCTCAAATAAATATGTGATATGAGAACATTTTTTCAGTTATTTTCCTAATACCTTATTAATTTTTAAGTTTGAATTTTTGCGATTCGGAATTATAAAAATTGCAACTTTTAACATTTTAATATATTATATTTTATATATAGTTATTAAAAATATGTAGAGGCCGGAACTCTGCTTATAAATGATATCATTGCATAGAACTCTGTGAGAACTAACGAGAACTGCCGTTGTAACTGATAGGAATAGTCAGCACGTCAATTTTTCTAGAAGTTTTATGCCATTTTCTATATATAGGATGTATAAAAATTGTTAAATGTTGTTATTTTATTTTGAAAATGCACAACTTAGTTGGTTTTTAATAGAACTATCGGGAACTGTTGCTAAAAGTGCAAATATTAATTTTTTTTCTCGTACTTTAGAGGAAATCTGACGTGCCAGATTCGCGTAGTTAGCACGCCATATTTTCAATTTTAGTTTTTTCATATTAAAACTGCCGAACTATTTTTTATTTCTAGGTAGAACTGTAGAACTATGAAAAGTGCTACTGGAACTGTTGTAATTTTTCTGATATCGACAGAATGTCGTGCCAGCTTCACAGATCCAGTGCCTTAAGGATTGCAGCGCAAAAATCGAAAATGCTTGGAAATAGTAGCGCATAAATCAGAAAATATTTTTGCATAGTTACAGTATTTAATTTCGCCATTTTTAACGACTTAGATAAATATATGGCCGATCGATACAAGAGGTGTTTCTCTGGGTATATATTCACATGTATATGCGCGTATATTTAAATATCCCCACTACTGATCACGTGACCCTTTTAATTCTATATTGCGGTGCCATGGACCCAGGCGGCGCCAAGGAGCCTGTCTCCCTTCTCTGCTTCTCTCCCTTCTTCCAAAATCCAAGATGGAAGTTTGTTTCCCCTGTGTGAGGTGAGGTATCATACAATATCAATGGAGACCGTGCCAAAAGATTTACGTGGCTTAAGAGCGTGTTTGGTATGCTCTTTAATCAAGGTGCGTATTTCATAAATATTATGTTGCACTATAATAAGATCAGCCCTTCAACCGGGCTATTATTGTAACATCTACAGAACTAATTTATATGTTAGAATGAACGCGCAATCATATTTTTACTCCACAGACCTTTGATCAATTCGAATTTGATGGTTGTGATAATTGTGATGATTTTCTTCGTATGAAGAACAATAAGGATAATGTTTTTGACTGCACGAGTTCCAACTTTGATGGGTAATACGCAGCAATACATATACAGACTTCTAAGAATGACTTATTATCGTGTATATTAGCAGCTTTCTAAATATTTAATGTTAGCTTTTTTTGTATCTACAAGCAAAAGTTATTGAAAATTTGTTTTACTGTGTAATAAGTTAATGATATCTTAGATACATTCTTTACTTATTCTTTTAATTTTAATTGCTAACAGTTTATTAAAACAATTTTTTTTTTAATAACAATGTCTCGTTTTAATAAGTAATTCTATTATAAAGAAATAAAACAGTATAATTTCTTGACATGTATTTATTTTCTCTACTTATGTTTTACTACTTTTTCTATATTTTAGAGTGATCGCATTAATGAGTCCAGAAGATAGTTGGGTGTCCAAGTGGCAAAGAATAAGTAAGTATTACAATAAATACACTAATATAACTCTAGTAATTAACATTCTTTTATAAATTCTTATTATAATTTTTATAATAAGACTTTATAATAAGATAATATAATTATCTTATTATAAATTCTTATATAATTGTAATTTTCTTATTTTATTTCAAGAATTTTTTAAAATAGTTTTATTTCAGAGTTATATATCTGTATATAGTAAATTGATAAAAAAAGAATACAATTTCTAAAAATTAAAATTAATTAATTAGATTAGTGTATAGAAGATTTTAAATCCTAAAATTATTTACAATATATATTTAGATATTTTAATAAATATATTTATTTCTGAGATTTTTTCATTTTAAACATATGATACATTTATACAGACATATTATTCTTACAAATGCCAATATGTATTCATCTAGGAACATACTTATGTGCGTATATATTATAAAGATTTAAGAATGCTATTTTTGCGCAAACACTTTCAGAATTAAAATTGTATCTCAGTCTATACACACACACACATATATATATATATATATATATGTATATAATTACGTCGAAATTGCCAACGTTAATGCTGAGATTCCATTTTCTTCAGATCGTTTTTGTAAGGGCGTCTACGCCATATCAGTATCAGGACGATTACCAGCTGGTGTCATCAGAGAGATGAAGAGCAGAGGAATAGTATATAGGCCGCGCGACACAAGTCAACGTTAATGATATAGAAATTTCTATTTAAGATGTAAATATTGAACTTTTTTTAATACTGCATTAGATCAATTGAAATATAATCATATTGTTCTTTTTGTTAAGCTAAATATATAAATATTTTTGCTAACTTAATACAATATCTTATGACTATGTTATATTAAAAATTTTTGTAAAGTACAAGTCCCTATAATAAATACGATTTTAACGAACATTGAATCTGCACTTTACTTTGTTTATATGGTACATATATGTATGATACATTAGATTAAATGCAAATTGTATCAGAACTCTATTTTTATAGATCATTTTTATGTCAAGTTCTCTTATTATAAAATCTCAATAGCATATTTTTATTTTGAGTTTGGAAACCTTTCAACTTGATTAGCATTTAAATGTGGCTTCCTGAACATATAGTTGATTGACAAAGTAAAGAAAATCGCATTACCGGTAACTGATTGCTTACACAATTAAGCCATAAATTTGCGCACGTTACATGATAATTATTATCGTTATACACGACTCGACCACTCGTGATAACTGTTAAACAAAGAGAACAAGATATACATTCTCCTTGATGTAATGGCCAAGCTGGTAGTTCAGTAACGATCTAAAATATAAATGTATTATAAAAGATTAAAGATAGATACACATTAGAGAAAAAAAGGGAATTTCTTTTATATTGTATCTTTACATTTGTACATGTAAAAACATTAACAAAATTAAGAAATATATGTAAAAATATTATAAATTCATTGAGGCATTACTTACTGGTATGTTTGCATAAAAAGGTTCCATTTCAGCCCAGATCCGATCAATGTCCATTAAAAGATCATCAAATCCAATAATATTTATATCCAATTCTTTGTATGAAAAATTAACACGTCTACAAACAGCTGCAACTTCAGCTAATTCTAATGACAAAATATATTATATATATTTTTATGATTTTATTATTCGCGCGCGCGTTTTGAATAAATAGTATAGATAATACATGCATGCCTAATATTGTGCAAAATGTATTACTAAAATAAACACTTACGGCAAAGAAAGTTATATCCTTGGGCTGAATTTAAAACTTCTTGCAGAACTAATTCTGATGTAATATTGGTAAATATATTAGTTGCAACTTGCAATAATAAAACACAGCTTTCCATATATTGCTTCCATTCCCAATACACGGTCTGCAACAGAGAAACACTTGATAGTAAATATCATACAATTATTCGCTCTATACCTCAACTTCCTGACAATTCAATTATGAGATTACCTGCTGTGGAGTTTCTATAACTTGTTCTTCCTCTACATTAGAAGGCAAAAATGATTTAAGATCTAAGCTAGGCACAGATCCAGAACGTGGCAGTGCTTCAGATGGACCACTAATCAATTCTATACTATTTATGGAAATAGCATCTTCTTTCTGAACATTCTTTCCTAAGAATAATATATACTACTAGATTCAAGCAAAATGACACATAAGCGAAAATAAAACTGTCGCAAGTAATGAGAGCACTAACCTGTCTCTACAAATTGTGCTTCAATTCCATCATCAAGTTTTAAATTATTGAACGACTCAGATACTTCAGATGCAAAGTTCAGATCTGCTAAATTATTGTTATCAGCATTAGCGTGCGTCTTAAACTCAAAATCCGCAAACGTACTAAAGCTTTCAATATCCAAAGCATCTGATATCGTGGGATTATTAGGTGGTTGATCTGCCGACATAAAGTCCCCGAATTCATCAACTGATTGATTATTAAAAGTTAAATCTAAGCTCGTATCATTTACAACGGACGTTTCTTGAACTAGTTCACGCAATGCACTGTATTTATCTTCGACTTGTTGTAAACTCATTAAATCTTGTTGAACAGAATTAGACATTTCTAATGTAACGGCCTACAGATAAATTTATATACATCAGCAAAAATCATATTGACATTATACTTGTACAGACATAAAAGCACACTTGCTACATAATTGACAAGCTTGTTATTTACCTTAGGTGCTAATTCCAATTTAGGTAATACCTCTTTATTGCTGCTGACAGACTCTGCCGTACTTGCCAGACTGTTAAAACTGTCGCTATAATCTTTAGGCATGTCGTTATTTCTAATAATAGTGTCCTTAAGTATTACTGTTTTGGACTGACTCTTTATTCCACATTTAGGAAACAGATCAGATGTGGATTCTACTATGGGCTGATCTTTACTTTGATATGATAAACTTGCAGGTGCAGGCGTACGAATTTGTGAATTAATATGTACAGCTTTTGTTCCAACAGTAGTTTTCTTGACTTTATCAACTGTTTTCTTTACTCCTAGATTGTGATTAGCGAGTCTGCTACCAATCGCAGAACCTTGCTTGCTATCCCAGATTGGCATAGTAGAAACACTGGGAATCGGGGCGCTTTGAAACTCTGTAAATTCATCACAGGACTCATCGTAGGACGATGTAGACGGAACATCAGCTTGAACACGCAGATTTTGTTTTACATCTTTGAACAGACTATTGACATTACTCCCAGTTATACCAGACACCTGAATCTTGCTATCCAAGTAAGACAATTTTCCAGACGTACTCCCAGAAGATATACTTGCATCAGGCACTGTGTTTACTTGAGTTCTAGCTTTAGTTTTTCCCTCAGTTTTTCCCTTAGTATCAGGAATGTATTTTCCTTCCGTACCCGTATTACTGGATTCCTTGTAGTGCTGAAGCTTTTGTGCATTCGTCTGTGAAGCAGGCTGCAATTTCATCAGGCATTCTATGTTTAAGTAGGGCGTTGGTGGAAAAGGGAGTAAATGCAGTATATCAAGACTGTTGAAGGTATAGGACGTCTGAGCAGCCGCCACGAGAGCCAGGACAATGTATAGCTCTTGCTCAGTCAACTGTCCAGCATACTTTTGGTTGGCCAGGCTCCATATGTGGCCGAGCACCTCCGTAGGCAGCTGGCTGGTAAGCAACAGCGGGAACACCTTGTTGGTGTCGACAAGCAGCTCGGTCTGCACGCCGTTCGACCTGACCCGATCCTCCCGCACTGCTTCCCAGACCATCTTGTAAACTGGTGGCAAAGTGGTCGAGTTGGTCCACAGCCAACTCGGCAGCTGGTTCAGCTTCTTATTCGCGTGATTCTTATTCATGTTCCCGTGCGACGAAGTTCGAACGGCGAATCTCACCCTGTTACGAACGTCGCCAGTGGATTACGTGAACTCGTCGAGCAACATGAGCCCATCGTTCAGACTGCTAGCTTGATACATACATCGACATTGGCATTACGAAGAGGAGGTCGAACGTCTTTTCAACATCGGTCGCACGAATGCCCGAGACTCGTCGTACGAACGTTACCCTTCTTCCACATGGTTGGTGCTTATCGTACGACAAACACGCGTTTATAACTCGCCCTTACGTCAACTGACGAGAGTGACGTCGATCTCGTTATCAGTCCCTTCACCCCTTCAGTCCCTTGACACCTGCCACTCCACACTCCAGTGTGACTCCGACATAATGTACTTTAACTTTTTCCCGTTCGTTTTACGTACACTTTCTGCACTTTAGATTGCTTTCTTTCTCCTCCAGCGCCTGAATATACATTCTCACTTTGTAAAATAGATAAGAAATATTAAAGAGGAAGAGAGGACAAAAAGTTCAGCTACAAATTTAAGGAACAAGCCTGCGGTAATCGGTTTATTTTACGGTGTTTTACTTTCTGTCTTTCCGAATAATCGAATATACTATACGTACTACATTTTGTGTCAGAAAATGTTATGAAACATAAATAAAATAAACAAATTTATTAAGACTTTCACTTATTATTTTTAGCATTTTTGCTAATTATGACCAAACTCCGAAATTTATCGCAATTAACTTGTCAGTACTATTTTTGTTAACGTGGATAGAATTCATAATTAATTTTTTATTGTTTGATACATTAAAATAATTAGATCAACAATTTTTAACTGAAAATTTGATTATGAGCAATTTTGTTTAATCTAGATTAGCAGAAATAAACAAAAGTCTTGAATTAATCGGCAATTAAAGATGTATCGGAGATCTCTGTAAAAAGAATCTGCAGGAATTCGAAATTTGTTTTCATATAAAATATATGCAATAATTTAATAAAGTTAATATATTTATATTTATATACATTTATATTTAGCAATACAATTTTAGTTTAAATAAATTAAAGTTCTCTCATGTTTTATATTTTAATTATTTTTAAAAATATGTTTACTTCTTACATTAAAATATTTTTCGATTCAAATTCTAAATCGTAAACTTTTTGTATTACTTTCACACACATAAATATATTTATAAAAAAATGTGTAACTATTTCATCTTATCATTTTGTTAAAAAATACTGGTGTAGTTCACCTTGAATTCCGAATTTTCAAACTTATATATGTAATAATTTTTATATAAATAAATATAATTTATATAACATATACAATTTTATATGACGTCATTATGTTAGTCCTATAATAACCAATGGCGAGTCAATCGATATATCGAAATTAATTCCAATAATATCGAATAGCTTAGACAGTTCGCCACATGAAAAGTCGGCTTAATGTTCGCTTAAGTTTGCCAATGGCGGATGTTGATTACTAGAGAAGCCATTGTTAAAACGTTGTAGACAGTTGTAGAACGTCTCGTGTCATATAAACAGTTGACCGTTACTGATTATAATTATACTGAACGATAACCAGCAGTGAGAATGTCGACCGACTTTTACATACGCTATTACGTCGGCCACAAGGGCAAGTTTGGGCACGAATTCCTGGAATTCGAGTTCCGGCCGGACGGCAAGTTGCGCTATGCCAACAATTCCAACTACAAGAACGACACGATGATTCGGAAGGAGGCATATGTGCACCAGTGCGTGATGGAGGAACTTAAACGCATTATCCAGGACTCGGAGATCATGCAGGAAGACGACTCGCTCTGGCCACAGCCCGACCGTGTAGGTCGCCAGGAACTGGAGATCGTCATCGGCGACGAGCACATATCGTTCACCACCTCCAAGACTGGCTCCCTCCTGGACGTGAATCAGTCGCGGGACCCGGAGGGTTTACGGTGTTTCTACTATCTCGTGCAGGATCTCAAATGCTTGGTGTTTTCTTTGATAGGACTACACTTCAAGATTAAGCCCATATAAATGACGCTCATGTTTTATCCAAAGACTTCTGTATAACCCCCTTGCTTCTCTATTTTAATAAAATATATGTAATTATTTGTGTACTTGTTTGTGCTTACTTCACTCATTCACAAAAGTTGATGAACAGGTGATCTTGGAAGAGAAATTAAATTACATTCATCTTTTTGTGAATTATAACCTTTAAAGAATATATCAGGTGTATGTACAAGGATTATTTGTGTATTGTAGAACGAAGTAAAAATTACAAAAGTGAATAAATTCACTAACTGTTGACCAATGAATAATATAAATGTTTTAGTGAATGTATTCTCTTTTGTAATTTTCAAAGTATTTGATCCAGGTCTAAAGTGCCTTTACTTTTTCCAATTTTTAAATATAGTTTTATTATAGAAATACAGAATTACACATACCGTTAAAAGCTTAAAATTAAAATTTTTTGTTATTTTGTCCAGTAATTTAATTATGTACATTCACTTAAGTACATTTACCTTACTAGGCATTATCTATTTGATAAATTGACAAAAGTGTTGTTCTATCTTTGTTACTCTCTGAATGTTAAGACAGATAGAATGATGTTTGTATCGATTTGTGTTAAATAAATGAAAAAAATTTCATAAACTCCAGAGACGTGTTCACATTTCCACCCGAATGTTATGTCATCCTTATTTAACATTCGGTAAACAGTAAGGATAGAATGATATCTGGGTTGGCACTCGGGTGGGAATCTGAATACAGCCGACGTAGCCCATATCGAGCTCGAGACCTAACCTGATGTGACAATTGAGGGAAAGCGACTGACATATAGGTGACGCTTTGAAATATTGTGGCGACCCTAATTAGGATATTAATTTTTTACTGTTCCATAACTTCTTACAAAGCTAATCACCTAATTACTTTCTGTAATAACCACTCCTCTAAATTTATCTTTCACTCCGAATGACATTTTTTCTCTCCTTAAAAAACAACCTCCCAAGCTTTGTCGTTTACTTCTTGCCTTGAGTCCAATGACTTAAGAATTTAAAACTTCCTTGACTGGACTCGTTTTTCGCGTGCCCACTGCCCTTCTTTATTGATCTACCTCTGGCTTTATCCCCCCCACTTTACTTTCGATACTCCAGACGTCATTTACGAGACTCGCCGACCGTCATTACACAGTGGCCATTTTCGATACTGGCCAATACTGGCCGTATCGATGATGTACGTATTTTTCTCCATAACCTGGGTCATTTTTTAATAAGAAGAAGAATAAGACGCTGTATGTACGTGTTTAAGGCCACTCACTTCAAGAATTGGTTCGTAGGGGGGGGGGGACAATTGTAGAATTAACAAAATTTGTCTATATTATATATGTATATATCTATATATGTATGTACACATATATAAAATAATTATGCAATATAATTAGAACAAAAGAATGACGGTTGCAGATATTGGAACGAAATACATCACATAAGAATACATCACTTGCTATTATTTGGATACAATCTGGCATGCGGTACCTAAGCTTAATGTAATAATTCGTCACGCTTCGAGTGAAAGTGGACAGAAGAAAGAAAATTTGAGACCCTTAGAATTGTATCTTTATCGAGGAAAACTGGTAATTAAAATTATTTATTTGTATTGAAAAAGCTTAAAAGTCTTGTGTCAACAGCTGAATCCTTAGTACACACAACTGAATCATTCGTGTTCTTGCATTTCTTTTCTTTGAAATCCAAGGAGCACTTAGATAAATAATGGATTCTATTCTTTCCTTTTTTTTAAATACACAACTATAAATATTTTTTGTGAAAAGAGTTTAAAGTAAATATAGAAATCACCTTATAATTTTATACTTGTAAAAGTGATGATTAATCCAATTGTATATACCAAAAAATTATTGTATGTACTAAGAGTTAAATTTAAAACAATTTTTGTTGGGAATATTTTTCTTGACAAAGTTTATTGTCCCAAATTTTTCATTGAGTAATGTAATAAATTTTGAACATTACAGATAGAATTCTTTTATACTAGACATTTTATTAACTGAATGATTTGGATCATTCAAGATATCAGTTAATGATCGTAAATACACGATGTCAGTTACTGATTTGGATCATAGATTCAAGATGTCAGTCAATATGCAAGATTTGAAAGAAGGTGAGGATCGTTTTGTCACGGACTCGGTTCATCAAAGATTTCAGCAAATGCATCTTCGTTGTGAAGAATGCAATCAAGATATCTTGGGAAACTGGAATGCCATAAGAAAGCACTATGACGATTCACATCCTCCCTCTGATAAACGATGCCGCTACTGCTTTGGCAACGTTTTTAAATATCGAACGATCCCAGCAGATAGTACAGAATTTTCAGAGAGTTTTTTATATCATAAGTGCAAATGTACAGAGGAGCAACCCAAAACAGGTGCACTTAAAGAATCCATGTAAATACCGATATATCTGTGATATTTCTAAACACAAGATCTGTAAATTTGATATTTTAAATAGAAGTGTACCCCTATTGTACACAGAAATCTATGACATCTACGTAAAGTGTAATTTCTCATTAATGAAAAATGAGTTAATTAAAAAAAAAACGAACAAACATTTTATTGGAATATGTTACAAAAATCTTGCCTAAAATCTAACAAATGCTTGCCTAATTGACTCATAAATATCAAGAGATTATTTTATACATACAATCAGTTCTTATCTATCAACTGATATTCAGTAATAAGAAGCGTTTAATCTTACATCACATACAATATTGCTCATCCCCATACAATATAGCACACCCTCAAATTTATTAATGTCTCTATAAACAATAAACGTGGGACATGTGTTTTGCATAGAAACGAGTCCACTCGCTGTTATAGATATAAGCACTTTCTATGGCAAATCGCTTTTCGACTGATAACTTTTTTTCTAGAATTTTATAAGGACACTTTACATATTTTCGTAAATTTCCACAGTATTACAATACAGGGCGAAGCATATTTTGCTTTTGAAAATAATCGAAAACTATAGTTTTCGAGGATTTTTATATAAATAATGTACAAATATGATGCATGGAAGTGCTGAAAGTGTTTACAACAGTAGACTCATTTCTATGCAAAATATGTGCATTATATATTCATTTTTACATAAATTGACAAATCTGGGAGTGTATTGAAATTAATAAGCAGTAATATACAAATGTTTCTTGCATTATATTAATAAATATCTTTAAGCAATTACGTCTCTCTACGACTTTAGAATAATGAGTTTTAGATATATTTTATAATTTATATGATATAAAAAAAATATTGACAAAAATAATTATATATATGTGAACGTAAATATATATATTGCATAAGTATATGTATTATATATATATATATATATGTATATACTATATTATAGTATTGTTGCGTCCACACTGTGTTCGCTTGAAGCATTGCCTTCGTGCCACAGAATTTTGTCGAGCTCGCGAACGAGAACATTGAGAAAAGAAGCGCGGTTGTTTTTTGTTTTTGATGTTTAGACTTCGAATTGAACATGAATTCTTTTCGTAGTGTTACTTTGTGTTACAATTATACTGTCAGTTCACTAATTAATAAATTTTTGTGTTCTAAACATCCTAAGACTCATGAGCAATTAGTTCGAACGTTACGTGCTCGTGCGTAACATATATATATATATATATTTATTTACATATAAAAATATCAAATATATATTATATGTATATTATTTGTATAATTATATACTTTCATTTATAAATAGTCAATATATAATGCATTTTATATAAATGTATCAAATAATATTTCATATATATATATAAAATAGATTCGAATATTTTTTTTATATTTTCTCATGTAGCATTTATTAGAGTTAATTAATTACAAGTACAAAAAGATACTGTAACATAAAATACAAATGTTGAAGATATTTTCATATATATTTTAGATCTGATTGTAATTTAACTGTTCATCTTTCGTTATAAAGGAACAAATTTTAGAAACTCGAAAAATGAAACAAATAAAAATTAGAAATGAATAGATATAATTAAGTTCCCTACCACACACGCGAGATTTGTAATTTATTTTTATGTGGGTAAAGGAACAATTATTTATTATAGAATGAAAACTTATATTATATAAACTTTGTGCTTTACAAATACACAAAAGTTAATTTCAAATACAAAGGTACATTGAATTTGTACATAGTTGCATTTATTTTTCTATACTTAATATTCATTGTAAAACATGTTCAATATTAATTATACATTATAAGACTTTGATTATTTAATATAGGAGCAGCAAGTAATCTTAACAAAACTTGGTATGTTATTTATTTAATCCTTCCTTCCTGAAGTACACTTATAGTCAAATAGACAATCTATTCAAACATACAGAACATAATTTTTCTTTTTAAAACATACATATGTGTATAAATTTTGTAAATTCAATAATCCTTAAAGTATATATTTAGTCTATATAAGTTACTTTATTTCTTATTCTTCTTCATCAGTAACATTTAAATGGAACAAGAAAAGTTTTATAATAAATAATTATGTTTCTTAATAATATATCTAAATAAAAGGATACTTATACTATTATAATATGTCAAAATGCTAAAATTCTTTGGTAAATTAAGATTATAATTATGTATCATTAAAAGTAGCTTTCATAAATTGAGATTATATAAACATGTTCAATAAAAACAATGTACATCACATAAATTCTATAACCGTCCCATAAGACAGCATATATAATCTTTCTTATTTTTTATAACCATAAATATTGATATTTTCCATGTTTCTTTGGTAATCTTACATTGTTATACTTTTATCTGAATATGTATATTGTATACATATACAATGGCACATATACACATAGATCTTTTATATATAAAACCACCTAAATATAAATTATATATAATATACGTATAATAAGTTAGAAAAGATTTTATATTGTTACATTTTTTATAAACGTGTGAGCTGCAGTTAAATATATCATTAACATAATATTTGTTTAGTTACTTGGTATATTGTTTCTACGTTCAAAAGATTAAAAAAGTACATATATTTAACATATAGATATTCATAGACAATTGAGTTATATTAATTGTAAAATACTCTGTATGCAAATACATGATGTAATTTAATATGTAGGATATGCTTCAGGGATGGATGTAATGTTGAAGAATGATGACTCCTGTGAAGTATGTCCCACATATATTAAGTTGTTATAAGATATTAATACTGGTTATCATGCCGTAACTATCTCGTAATACCGTATAAATATCATACGCCAAATACAATATTTGCACACAAATTTATTTCTTTATTCAATTCTAGAGTTTTCAGTCTAGCCCTGATAGTTTATCGATTTCACACTTTCTCAATATTATGAGACTGACACAGACTTTTATCACATTCATTTTTCACGATAAGGAAATTCCTTATATCACACCAATGTATACTAAGGACATATCACGATCTGCGTAGATCGAGTTTTCTCTTTTCACAATAATAAAATGTCTTCTCTCCACAAATCTATGAAGATTAAAACTTATTCAACAAATGCATCATATATAGATCAGACTATATGTATTATTCGAAGCGTTTGAATGTTGGACTAAGTTAACGCTGGCCCCAGAGAGATATAGTAATCAATAGATATTTTGTACCAAAAACTGGGATATGCATGCAGGCTTTATTAAAATGTGCAAATTTCTTACAATAAATCTACGTGTAGAAGAATATTATAAATAAAAAGTTGCAATAAGAGAAATGAATATTGTTGAAGAATATTCGTTTTTAGGTATTATATAAAGGTAAAGTATGCTTATCCCGTAATTAAAAATAATATATAAAATCTGAGACCGCGAATAGATTCTAACAGCAAATTAGAGAAATACACATTACAATTATATATTATATAAAAATTGCTATATTAGAATAAATCGCTAACTGCACAGATATTATTTATCAGCCCAGTTTCACGAAGAATCATCGAATACTGATGTGATAATTAGAATATTAGTGAATCAATAATTGATTCACGAATTTTGAAACACCATATATATCCGATAGGCTTTTTTACTTTTAATCTGATTGCAATTAAATTAAAAGCAAAAAAGCTTCTTGGATATATATGGTGTTCCAAAATTCGTGAATCAAAATATTACAGCAAGAAAATTTTTGAAAAAAGGAAACAATCATTTTTTTAAAAACATTTGTTCCAAATAGTAGTTTTTGAGATATAAATTAAAAAATGGCCAATTACAATCAAACTGTTTAACTATAATCTGTAATTGTTTCAAACCATTATATCTCAAAAACTATTAGAACGAAAAGTGATAAAATTTTTTTAATTTACTTTTTTCGAAATTTTTCTTACTATATTGTATTTTGATTCCTTAACTCGAGACATTCTATATTTTTCGATGAAGCAAAAAATGAAGATTAATAAATGGAAGATTTACGAGGCCAGAGCAATCTTATTCCGTGAATGGATACCCGCATTAATGTAATAATAATATAATAAACTATTGTATACAACACACACATATACAGTGCATACTGTATATGCAATTTCGCTAATGAATTAATTTGTACGAACTGTCAAAATTGTGGCAAAATTGGCATTTATACACAGAACGTAAGCAAATAGTTTTGCTTTGCTTATAAAAAATATACTACTTTGTTTATTCTTATATATCTTCTGGCTTATCATGGCAGATATCTCTTCTCAGACATAAATAACTCCGCGAATTTTTTCAATAATTTGTTACCTGATGTGAATCTCTTTAAAAATGATCTCTTTAGAAATCTACCTAGTATTTCATTCTATTGTACGTTTCTTTAAAAATAATTTTAATCTTGTTGGATAATCTGTCATTACACCAGTTGCTCCCAAATTAAATGCTTTTTCGAATTCTTCATCTTTATTCAAGACCCAAAAATAGACCTACAAAAAGATATAAGCCAACGATAGTAAAAATCAATCAGATAATCAAATGTAATATATTATATATACTTACATGTATACCTCGTGCTCTTAAATGATTAAATAAACACGGCCTCACTAACAGCACATTAATTGTACGTACTACCAACTTTTCCAGTGGTAAAAATGTCGGACTCGGACCTCCTTTTCTTCTAAAATCAAATGAACATTTTTACAAGAAATGTTTTTTTTCGTAAATCCATTGTAATTACAAAGACATAATTATATTACCGTAAATAAATTGAAGGCAAGAAAATTTCAAGGTGCGTTTCCTTTAGTGGTACGAATGGTAACAAGCCAGTATACATGAGAAGTATCAACATTGCTACACGTTGCATTGAAAATAGTAAATTTACATTTGGATTCTGCAATAAAAATCAAAATTATTAAAATTAACAATACTAATATATATTATAAAAGAGGCCACATAATTCTCTTCTTCACACAAATTCAAGACGAGAATTTCGTAAAATTCATATAATCTTACATCTGAAATGGCGTAATTTCA